GCTTCGCAAAAACATCGTCATTAGACACACTTGAACTATGTGAGTCACGTCATTTCATTTTTCGTAATGTGCTCAGGCCAAAACATGTAAATTAAGTCATTCTGGTGCTGCAATGGAAACTGTATTTCTCATGAATGCAGTCAGTGTTGGTTAATGAATTCAGCTGTATTTACCAGCTCGTAATGTCGAGCCTCAGATCAGACAGGTGTTGTTCAGGTTATAAACACATGTTCCCAAAGCATTTTGAAATCCCAGTGGTAGAGCAATCATTCATAATTTATGATGCTGAAATGACTTTTAGATACATTTAAGGATAAATCTTTGGATGTTGTATATTTTCCTTTCTGTCAACAAATCCCATTAAAAGACCAGAACCAACAGCGTCTTATTTTCTCTTGGTATTTACTCCACTATGTCTGTCTTTCAAGTCAATCGCTCCTGAAGCTGCACATTATTGAAAGAGGGTCAAAAATGTCATGTTTGTAAAAAGATTCTGTAATTAGCTTTAACATTTGGGCACTGTTGATTTAGCAAACAGAGGTAAAGAGCCCTTTTGTTGGGGACTATTTTCAGGATGTTCGTGGCTGCGATTTAGAGCAACACATGAATGCATTTTCTAACTGATGCTACATTTGACAGGACAGCTTATTTTGTCAAAGTTTGCCAGAAGTATTAGAATAAAAAAGTTTGACAATTTTAAAACTCTCAACTAAAGGTTTGTGTAAGATTGGGTACAAAAAAGCCTCTGCTGGTTTTGAGGTTTATACAAGAGGTTAAAATAGGTCTAGTTGGTTAAGATGATGGGAGCTTTATGTTGCATGGTAAAATATTAAACATCTAGTGACGTGATATCCCATTTTATCACAACAAAGTCACATTGTGTCCTGCTGAGCTTCTTTGAAGCACTTTATCGTTGTTCCTGACCCATGTGATTAAATAATAGAATCACTGGTGCCAAATATCGATATTTTAATTAAGGACATTACAGGGCCCATGACAGATTTCCCTGCCTTTATGACATGAATAAGGTTAAAAGGGTGGCTGTGGTTCCATGTTAGAGTTGATCGTCTTATAATCGAAGGTTGGTGGTCCGATCCCAGCTCTTACAATTCCCAAGTCATAGTGTCATCGGTCAATCCAAATCACTCCTGATAGCATAGCTTTTCAATGAGTCAAGTTAACTCATTAGTTAATACTGACTTTACATAGTACCCTCTGACATCAGTGTGTGAACATGGTGAGGATTTGTGAATGTGATAAGCCATCCCATCCCATCCCATCCTATCCCGTCCTATCCTATCAAGTTGTGAGTTAAGTGTCATGAGTTGAGCAGGTAAAAAATATGGTGTACTAGACGACAAGGTTTGATTGGAGTGTTAAACTGTTTGTCTGTAATGCTTTTAAAACCAAATGTTTTTTTTATTTTCTTTTCTGGTTTTATGTCAGGTGGAGAAAACATAAATCACATACTTTTCTCCTGTACATTAATTGCAGGAGTTAATGTCACCTGTCATTGTTGGTGTTGAGGTATTCATGGGGTTTGTTGAGGATGCCATAAATAATCGCCAGCGTCCTCCCGAAAGTACTGAACACATCTAATTTGATTGATTTTAGTGTAATAAAAGAATCTGTTTGAGCTCAAAAGTAGGAAAGTGGTCTTGCATGCACCACATTTGATTTATTACTAATGTCCCTCTGTAGTCCCTGTGGAGAGGAGCAAACAATACAGCAAAGGCACAATCTAATTCTCCTCTATAAATGGACCATCAACCCATCAAGAATCAAAAGATTAGAATTGGAAACATGACAAGTGGCTTTACTGACGCATTTGAAGTGCAGAATAAACTTTAATCCTTTTTAATCTCAAAGGGAAACATTACTCTCCTGGATTAATAAAGACTGTTCTGTAAACTGTCTTGGTGAGGAAACAAAGAACATAAAGTTACCAAGCTGAAATTAATCTGTTCTCAAAGGCTTCCTCTGTCAGAGACTTCTCTAAATCTGTTTCTATTTAGGAGCCATATTTATTGGTGAGGGTAGGGTTACATTTGTTTGATTGTTGAATAATATTTTAACTACAGTAGCCATGGGCTAATCCGAAAAGACAGATTAGAGGGGAATTAAGTCTTTCTTCCTTTGAAACAACTCAAACTGTTTGTCCTCACTACTGAGTTCATATAAAGCTGCACATTGTTAAACCTGTTGTTTTATTTTGTTTCCCACAACATGGAGAGACTTAATCTATAATCTGTGCGTGCCAACACTCAGAGATGTGTATTAAAAAGAGTTTGAGGGCTGGATTTATCAGTCACTGCTTTTCATTTTTTCTTGTTTGTTTTGTGTTTATTCAGGGCGATTTTAAACCTTGGCTTAATTAGTGAGAATGATGTAGTGTTTTTTTATGTATGAACTTTTTAAACTAAATGAGGTGACTGACATTTACTGACTCATTAGCACAACCTAATAAAAGCCTGAAATGTTTCCATATTTTCCTTTGGATTAGTTTGGATCAAACACACTGTTCTCATGTTTCTCATTTGAAGATTTGCAAAACATCCGTTTCAGAAACCAATCTGCACTACTTTCAAATCTAAATACGAGGCATTAATGTTATCCTAATGTTAAACGTCATGCTATCCTTTAAAAAAAACACCAATGCCTTCATCTTGGGTCTTAATGACTCAGTGTTTGAAGATTAGCCTTGTTTCCTTATAAGTGACTGGTGGACAAATTGGATAATTTTCACTTTGATCCTCAAAACAGTCTAAATCTGAGATTTTATTCACCACAAAAAGTGAATTAAGAAAGATTTGAAGTTGTAAAAATGTTTAATATCTTTTCTTGTGATCATCTCGTCGGGACTCCAGCAGGATTGAAATCAAACCTTGAAAAATATTTCTGTTTAAACACAAAAACACTTAACAGAAAGTCTGTAAGATCTGATATTGAAATAGAAGTTTCAGGGCGCTAGTGGCCTGGTAGTTAGTTTGCGCGCCCCATGTACAGAGGCTGTAATCCTCCAGGCAGGGGGCCAGGTTGAAATTTGACCTGTGGCTCCTTTCCCACTTTCTCTCACCCAGATTTCAGACTCTATCTACTGACCAAAAACCCAAAACTAAAAAGAGGTAGTTTCTGTAAAGCTTTGTGTTCAGCCTGCGCTGTATTTCCTGCTCACTCTGATATTTGCTTGAACCTACCACAGCTTGTGTGTGTGTGTGTGTGTGTGTGTGTGTGTGTGTGTGTGTGTGTGTGTGTGTGTGTGTGTGTGTGTGTGTGTGTGTGTGTGTGTGTGTGTGTGTGTGTGTGTGTGTGTGTGTGTGTGTGTGTGTGTGTGTGTGTGTGTGTGTGAGAGAGCGAGTGTAGGTGGTTTTGTTCCAATTTGCTATATGGAAATCAGCTATTACCTGAAGTTTATGATTCAATATAAATATAAATGTGATGAATTACCTCTACAGCGGCGAGTTCTGTTGGATCACAGATCTACAGCAATATCTATTATCTATTATGTGTTAGGTACAGGCCAACACATTAAAGATTAGGAGAGGATTTAAATGTGATTTGTATTACAAGATAAAAGTATTGATGGTTTTATTTCTTTTGGTTATTAAAATTTATGTTGATATATATTTTAATACTCACCCATATACTAACTGTGCCATTAAAGGTCCAATGAAATGATTAGTAGCCTAGCAGTTAGTGTGTGTGCCCCATGTACAGAGGCTTAAGTCCTGAAAGCTGCTATTCACCTCACCAAAGTATAAACCAGCCTTACATCTTCACATTATCTGCTCCGGCTAAACTGCTGTGGCAGACTCTTCAGTTTCATATTAATGCCAAGGGGTCTGCTCAGAAGATCAACATGTGTCACCATAAAAAAAATAGAAAATGAAATCAAAGTTCAAGCAAGTAATCCCCACTGACTGGTGTTTTATAAAATGTGTTGACTCGACCATGAAGGCTAAAAGTTGTTTCTGTGTCCCAAACGACCTCTTTTTCAGCTCATTGGAGTATAAATGTCCTCTACATCTTATCTTGATGCTTGAGTAGTTGCATAACAGTCATTTATTTAAATTCACATTTTCTCAATTTTTGGTTAAAATTTGTGATACATTTAGATGAAAACCTGTCTGATATCAACAAATGAGCACATGCCAACAAAGTAAAACCAACTACCACTACGTCAAGCTGTAGCGGTACGCTAGCCCATTGCTATCATCAGCTGTGAAACCCACCCATGGGACAAACTACAAATAAAGCTTCTCTACCTCATTTTAGCAAGAAACCAAGCATTTACTCCTTTCTGAACTAAACAGTAGTAGGCTGAATATTGTGCTTACTCAAACTTACACCAAAAACATGGGGTGCTTAAAGTAAAGAGCTGTCAAACATGTCTTAATGATAGTCATATTCTTGTCCATGACAGACCTTTCTATAGAAAGCCACTTTTTTTAGGGGCAATTGGGGACAGCAGATACAAGCTGTTAACACAATACTGACGTATCGTCACCATTTAAGTAGAAATGGTGAGCGTGTAAGCAACCAGATGCTTATTTACTCTCCAGGAGTTATGGAACAACAGGATCATTCATTTTGAGTAGCACTCACTTTTAACTCTGTATTGATCTTTACCATCTGGTGAAGAATCTGAAACATCTGTCTTCTTAGCTTCTAAATGCTTCACTATGTTCACCAGTGACCAGAAAAGAAAAATTGTGTGTTAGGAAAACAAAATAATGAGCTGAAAAACCCTAAAATACTTCATAGAGCTAACGGCAACTACTGAGTTAATAATTCTCAGGTCCCCCCTCACACACACAAACCCACACACACACTTATATTCTAGATAGTGACAGTCCAGATAGAAAGAACAGTCCTACATTAACAACACATTTAAAATGAACATAAAGGAAGATAGAAAAGTAAAGGACCATAAAGTAATCAAACTTAACGTACATATTCATCACCCTTATGTTGTTGTTATTATATATTTCCCCCATCAGTTTGAGGGCTGCCCCAAAGCATTCTCACGTCTGGAGAACCTGAAGATACACCTGAGGAGCCACACAGGAGAGAAACCGTACATCTGCCAGCACCCCGGCTGCCTGAAAGCCTTCAGTAACTCCAGTGACCGAGCCAAACACCAGCGCACACATCTGGACACGGTCAGTGCACATACAGCCATCCACACTACACATGTCTTATTCCATATTATATTTACATCTATGCTGACCTAGTGTGGAGTGTATGCTGCTAACCTATAGTGTGGAGTGGAGGGTAGCTTTCTAACTCAATGGTGAATTTCACTTAATAAGTAAATATGGTTTATTCCAAATGCAAAAACTAGTTATTGGTGTATATACAGCATGCATGCCTAAATGAATTAAACTGAGACTCAACCCAATTTCTTGTCATTGTATGCTTTTGCCCTTGCTTAACAGGAAGCAGAATTTAAAATGAAGTAGTCTAGATGATGAAACTGATGTAGACGTGTGTGAGATCATTCTCTCTGCTTCTCACTGAGGTTGTTGAAGGAATCAACTCAGTGCAGAGTCAGGTGTGTTTCTGGCTGATTTGGCCTTGATTAAGACCATCTGCGGGGAGCATGTATGTATGTATATATATATATATATATATATATATATATATATACACACACACACACACACACACACACACACACACACACACACACACACACACTCTTGGGCTGTTCTCGAAACCGCCTAGTCCATTTGGCCAAAATGCAGTATGCAGCATGAGAGTATAAGAACAAATGCAGGATCCACAGTATGCCAAAGATAAGTAAAATAGTCAAAAAAGTTACTGTAAGCATCAGACCACTCTCGCGTACTGTTTCCCACAATTCAAAGCGCCGTGTCAGAGATGGAAGTGACTGACAGCAACGACCATAATACCAGGGGAAAGAATCACAATCAGACCAAACCACACACAGATACCACCAAATATATTTTTTTAATTCTCAAAATCATGAAAATCAAAATGAATCACTTTTTTCAGACCGTCAGTGGATGCTATACTGTAATGGCATTCCAAGACCTGAAACCAGCATAGTCGAGGCTGGCATACTGCAAAATAACAACCAACCGGAAGTCTTACTACATACTGCTGTTGAATGTAGTATGCAGTACATAGTATTTTCATTTTATTGTGCTTATTTTTTCATTACATTTAAGATAATGCATAGTATGCATGCATAGTATAGCATGCTCACTGCATCTTGATCTGTATATTATAATCCTAAGAACACACTTATTTTGTAGCATTACTTATTTATAGCATTTATTTATATTTATTGCATCCCATTAATCCAGCCATCCAGATTTACCTCATAATTCACTTTTTCTGGCTACATCTGTAAATTTTGCAATTACTGTACATAGCACAGAATTACTGTACATAGCACAGACTCTTGCACTCAATTACTGTACATAGCACAGACTCTTGCACTTTCTGCTTATTTGCACTTCTGGTGAGATGCCAAACCTCATTTCGTTACTCTATACTTGTATATGTGTAATGACAATAAAGTTGAATCTCATCTCATCTCATAATTTGCTAAACGGATTGTCCTCAATTACTTACACTCAAACTTGTTTTTAATGGCCATGTGAGCAGCTAATAAATGTTCTTGATGTACAAGAAAAACTTATAAATCTATCAACACCTAGGCATAGGTAGTAATTTAAATGCTGTACTTTTACATGTAATACGGTATTTTGACACTGTGGGATTGCGGCTTTTATTCAAGGAGGAACAACTATCTTAAACCTTAAAGTCCATAAATGGGTCTTTGTAAGTATTTCAGAAGCACAGGTGTCGAAAAGTGACTTCTAAACCTCCATGCTAGGAAATTATAAATCTTGGGTATGTTGAGTTGTGAAGAAAGTCATGTAAAGACAGACTTTTTAGCTTGCTCCTCATCTGTGTTTGAGACTACCAGCTGGAAGCTATAGTAACAAAACCAAAATGATCTGGTCCATTATGGGTAAATTAGATATTTACAAGGATGGAGATTAGAAACACAGTATCATTTATTCATGTTTAGTCCATTTTGATTCTTTTTTAAAAAGTGCACTGTGGGTCTTAACATGTTGAAGGAGTGCCATGCCAAAGGGAGTTGGTGCTTTTTTCCCATTAAGGGCCCTGTCTGCATAAAGGCATTAGGAACATTTACCTCATCTCTTCTATGTCTAAATGATAAACATCTATCACTTGAGCACATAGATGAAGCCAAGATATGTTTTATGTCTGTTAGGGTATAAAACCATATTCTCCTGCAGGCTTTAAAAACGTAGATACCCCGATGATAAATCTATTTGCTTTGTGATGAGCGGGAATACGCAATGCACTCAACACACATCAAATCACTTTAATTTAAAGTGCCAATGCTCCACTCTTTCCCCCCTCTTTCTGCAAGCTCTCTGATATACAGTCTGAGCTTTCTGTAGGATTGTGAAACTGCATACCTGCTGCGGATTTATTCTACAAAAACCACAGTTATTTTTACTCCTGCTGACAAGCTACGAGGGACTTAGCGCTAATCCAGCAAATCAGATCTCTCATTACACGGGTGAGATGGAGCTTTAAGATGCACTCCAGTGTTATTACAACGAGAGGAGAGAGTTATTTTCTCCTTTTTGTGGTTTCACGCTGGCTAATAGCGGCTTTGCAGATGCGTCACAAATCAAGAATCGGACACTTTTGGCGCCATTGCTGAGGTCCAGTGGAGAAGTAAATGTAAATAATTGCTGAATATAGCATAACATCCAGCCAGGAAAAGACTGGTGTCTGTTCAAGCTGTTTAGGTTTGACTAAATAACTTGTATTGTGTTACTAATGTTATGAATAATATTGTTATGAAGGATTTGTTCCCCAAATGAATTCTAATGCTGGAATGTCTAAACTACCATTTGCAGCTCACAGTACTTCAACATGTGGCATGTTTGGAGCTTTTTAATGAGTATAAACAATTACTGCACACCATTTCCTGCAGGTTATTTACCTTTACATTACATGCTTACTACTTAGAATAACTAAGCAGTTGTTGAAAACTAATTAACCAATGCTGTATGCGTGTATGTGACTAAAGAAAACAGCAGATTTAAATGTTCTCTTCTGACTTTAGCGATGAAGCAGCTAAAGAGAACATTTTAATCTGCTGTTTTGAGTTTAAGCTTCACACTCGTAACATCTTGAATTGCAACATTGAACAGGAAGGCTTTGTTTAATCCCTGTCCATTTATCACTTTCAATATTTGTATAATTTTGACATACACAGAACATGCCGACTGACGTGCCATTAATCATTAATTTATGTCTTAATTTTTAGCAGCTGACAGCACTGAGATGTGCACACAGGGATCGTCAAGGTTAAAGTTTCATTCAGACTTTTCCCTTTAGAGCATGCAGATCACCTCTCGGGGAATATTTCATAAGACGAAGACATTGCCCAACTTTTGCATGTGACGTAAGACCCTGCAGGAGGTTACTCTCTTCGATGTCACATCTTTGAAAGAGTAGCTAAAGAGCTCAAATTTGAAATATATTCACATCTGTAAGTAATTACAAAAAAAGACAAATGAGCATATAGAAAAAGTTGGAAATCACTTCTATGAATAAATTATCTTTTTGTTGTTAAGTGTCACAGACAAGATGTCAGACTTACTGCTTTACTTTTGCAAACATGTCACTTGTCTCTCACTTTTTAATTATTATTGACAACAATCAGCGTATCACGGTTTCACTTCTTTTCAACAGCTGATCCCTGAATTCACCACTTTCTCTTTACTCATTTGAATTTGCATATAAGACCTTAAGGATTTTCCCAAACGCATGTTCCAAGAGGTTTTTCATAATGTCTTTACTTTTCAAATAAAATCACACTTAAGCAATAAAGGAAATCTGAAAAAGCAGAGGAATTTTTGTCATTTAATTTTCATTTAAATATGGAATGCATGTTTTTGTTTTATATATATGTATTTACACTTAACTGGAGAATGTCTGTGCACTGAGCTGTTCCTCTTAACTCTCCTCTCTTTCTCTATCTCTCTCTCTCTCTTCCTCTATAAGCCTGCAGATGATAGGTAAATATACTTTACTCTCGTCTCAAGAGTAGATTATGTAAAATGTTGACACAATGTACATGTGCTTCCTTTCTCTGTGAGCACAGATGTCACACTAAGTAAACTACATCTGCAGCATTTATCCTAAATGTTTGGGTGTATAATACACAGCACTACTGTGTTCAGCATCACACATGCAAACACTCTGGATGTGACTCAACTGAACTTGTGCTTATATTTGTAAACACATATTTTGGGTTTGACATCATATCCAGTGTGACGGAATAAACCACAAAGTATCGTGGGGTGAGTGTTTTGACCTTAACATGTGTCAGTGTACAGAGTAGGTATATAGAGCATAGACTGTATAAAAAGATGGACAACATTTCAGCTCCAAACAAAAAGTGAAGTCAAACATTTAGAGTTCCCACTACTGACTGGCCGCAGTACAGGTCATTGAGCCCACCTCCTCCATGTTAACAGATGAAACGGGTTCGGCTCAAACCTGCGCCTCTTTTCCCGCATGTCATTTCACACGCTCTCTCATCCCAGTTTCATACTCTATCCACTGCTATATCAATAAAGGCCTGATATTCAGAAATGACCTTGAAAAGAAGAAATACAGGACAGAATTGTTATATTGCGGTTGTGTATAGACATATCATGTATCAATGGATGTTTATACATGTTTTCACTTGTGTTTTTGTACTTTATTGAAGGTTTTAGCATTAAAGGAATGTGCACTTCACTTTGCAACATTGTGTTGTAAAATGGTATATAAATGACCTTGATAATAGTATCTATGGAGTGAACACAAAGAGAGAGGTTCATGTTTTTCATGTTGTGCGTCACATGTCTTTTTGCTGAAACATGATCTCTTCTCGTTACTGTTCATTCACAGAAGCCGTACGCCTGTCAGATCCCGGGATGCACCAAACGCTACACTGATCCCAGCTCGTTACGAAAGCACGTCAAAGCTCACTCAGCCAAAGGCCTTCAAGAGCGAGAGGTCAAGGTAAAACCAGCAGCTATGTTTTTACATATTAGGAACTTAGCTGAGGGCAGAATATGATTACTACTCTGATCTGCAGCATTAGAAACAAACATCTCTAAAACCTCCCTGTGTCTCTGCAAAGATTGTCTTCTCTCTTTTTAACAACCAGTATTACTTTTACTTTTTGGGTCATTTTATTGGACAGGGACAGAATGATCCTGTTGAAATTGATTATGTTTGGGAATGGTATCCATTACACAAATCACTTCAGTTTTCATCCAACGGTTAAAGAGTAGATAATAATCTTGTTTTGAGTATTTTAGTATGTATGAAATACAGTTTGAGACGGTTTTCTGCCATGACAAGAACAACTTCCAACCTAAAATCTATCATCAATGTCCTTGTTTGACTTTTTTTTCTTATAGATATAATACTAAATCCGCTTTAATTTACAATTTCCCAGCTGATATTTTTGGTACATAAACACATTTTGTAACACTCTCTTGAGGAACACAGTTTTCTTGAAATGTTAATTGAAAGTTTATTAGTGATTGTGAGAAGTTTATTCCCCCTCTCAGAGTTAAGTTTAACTTGGTCTGTTTGGAGCAGACCAACTGTCTCCAGAAGGTGCTGAGAAAATAACAATATGGCTGCCTCTGGCAGTTTTGTGAACCCCTCATCAGATTTACACTTTACTTCTTTAGGCAAAACACTGTCCAAAGTTAAGGTCAAAGATCTGATAAATGATGGATCAGATGTACAGTTCCTTAAATATGCCAAGAAGAGTTATTCACACACATAGAAAGACAGATTATATTTGATAATCTTATGTTGTCACAGCAAATGTCACAACATTTTTAATGTTCACTCAGACATTTCATCTGCACATGTTCACCACATGTGTTTGGGGTATAAACTTTGAAGGCTAGCTATCAAACAGATTAAAAAGTTACTCTTCAAGATTCACGGTTCCTTTCTTGGTACCTAGAAAGGTAAATGTGTTGTGCAGCAGGAGATTCAGCTTTCCAAAGATATAAATAAATCACATAACAATACAAATTGAAGGTTAAATTAGAAATTAGAACAAACATCGTCGATTACATCAGGTCATGTCAATGTCCTTATACAGACACCCACTCAAAAGTTTAAAACATCCTGGTATGTAGTCTTTGTAGCGTGGTCCTGAGATGTTCTCTACTTGGGTGGCATTTGCTAGAAAAGGGTTTAACACTCTATCAAATAAAAACAAAAGGCAGCCGCGGATCCAAAGTCAACTTATAAGTTACATTTATTAATAGAAAACTTTTCAGCAAAAACTAAACTTCACAAAATAAAATAAACAAATCAGATCGCTATATCACGTATATCCTAAGCGGCCCTTTGCAGTCAAA